TTTGTCGGTGCATACAGGGAAGCAGTAGGAGAAGCTACGGGAGCCCCCATTGCCTGACAGGAGCTTTACAAAGGAAGGTCAGTCATCAGGTACCCATTACGCGGGCAAAGGAAGCTGAGACTCATGCAGCGCCTCTGGCAAAGGTGGAAACAAAACCTCGGGCTGTGATCCTGCATTAACTGCCGTCTGGATCTGTCTGCCTGGAGCTCCTTGCAGATGAGCAGTCTGGGACTGGACCAGTGAAGATGTACTCTCTCTGTGCCTGCAGTTACTCCTGGTCCCCCAAAACGCTGCCTCTCGCTGCTGCTGGTGCCAGCTCAGACCTCTCTCACCGCAGTATTTGTTCGCAGCAGGGCTCAAGACCCGGCTACTCCCATTGATGTATCAAGGAGGAGGCAAGAGTTAGCTTTTACTTGCGGATTTCAGTAAGAGCCAAGTGCTCCTGCCAGTATGGCCCCTCATCTCGTGGTGCTGCGGGTACCTATGCTGGCAGATAAAAGCGGGCCAGGGATCAACCCATGCTGACCCAGCTGATGGAGCAGGATGGCCATGTCTGCACTGTGGAGGATGTGATTCCCAGGCTCTCGTGGGCCCTCTTGTTCGCAAGGTATTTTCAGTGTTTTGCATGATTTTTCTCCCTCCACTGAAAAATGCCTGAAACTATAGGAGAGCTGTCTCATGGCCTATTAGCATTCTGTTTACTGCATGAAGCTGAGGATACGTGTTAAATGTGTCAAGGAGTGCCATGCAGGACTGGTGGAGGTGATTCAGGGCTCCAAGTAGGCTGGGATGGCACTGGAAGACTGTGTACAGCAGAGGGAGCAAAACCTGCTCCTGTCTCATCTCTGCTTCATTTTGAGAGTGATCCCAAGACCGAATCTTGGTCCTGTGATCCCACGGTCAAATATTGGAAAAAACTGATGCTGTCTTCAGCTGGACCACTGTGGAAGTTCAGGCCAGAGGTGGAGGGCAAGCGTGTGGATGGAGATGGGCACAGTACTTGAACTTGCTTCTCACTCCTCTTTTATTGAGCCATGGTAACCCTCAGGATTCAGCTGTAGCTATGAGTCAAAAACTTAACATTCTTGAAACATGTTTCCAGTCGTTGTAATTCTGTGCCACTGTCTTCTTTATGATGGAGAACATGATCCACTTTCTAAGGCTACTAACACTTCTGAGCCCAGCCTGCCTCCTTGCCCTTAATCAGAGTGGCAGCCATGGAACCCTGTCTCAGAGCCACAGAGGAGAAGTGTTGGAGAAGAGCAGAGGACAAAACCAGAGGAGCAGGCTGCTACAGGAGCTGGCTTCGCTTCTTGCCATTGCCTTGTGCTGCAGCATGGCTCCAGGTTAGTCACATCATCCTTGCTCTCCTCAGCTGAATGGGGGCAGTGGTACCAGCCTGTGCTGTGTGAGACTGCACTGATAGTTTTTTTCCCTCTGTTTCTGAGCTATCCCATAGCCCTTGGGGTCTGCATTAGCTCCATGCCCATCAAAGCTGGCATGACATAGGAACTTAAAACATAAACCAAACTCTCACCTCACCCCTTTTACCAGAAGAAAAGAGGAAGGGGTCAACAGAGGACTCTGCAGAACTCACCGTGTGTGGCCTGGACATGAAAGTGGTATCCCTGGCCCTGTGGCTGGTGGGTGGAGCCCAAAGGGGGATGCAAGAGCAGCCAAACCTGCGTGCGACATACTTTGGCAAATGCTAAAGCTGTTGGCTTCAAAGTACAGGTTATTCTGCCTTTTTTAGGGGAAAGGTGATGAACTTGATGGACTACCTGGCTGGTCCAGGATGACAATTCCTGATTGCCTCTCGGGTTCAATATCGCCAAGGACATTACAGATTCTCATCTGCTGATAATGCATCCAAAGTTAGGAAAATTAATAGGGATATTTTCTCCAACAAGGACTGTTCTGATTTTACATGTTTTTAAATGTTGTTGCCAAATGAGGCCACAGCATATTTGGTAAACAAAAACCAGCCCTAACAGGTCCTGACCTCAGTCCAGACTGAGGCTGTGAAAATCCGGTGCATAGAGGAAGCTGGCAGTTTGTGGGCATGTAGGGGGAGCAGGGATTTGCCCTGCCGGGCACAGCCTTGCTTCCCAGCTCACACAGGGGCCTCTGCCTGAGAATCTCCTTCAAAGAGGACTTATGGCACATCATTGGATCCAGGGTGCACAGTCCCTTGCTGCACTTCCCTATTTCTGTGTACAGATGGGGATACACTCTGGAGACAACCCAACTCTGAGCCTACAACCTTCTTTCCGTTCTCTCCAAAACTGAGCATCTGTGCAGAAATGTTACACCCTAGGCCCCTGAGCTAGAGGCGAAACCATGGTGTGGACATAGCTGTCAGGAGCCAGTCGTCGGCAGTGCAGCTGCAACAGTTCTGGAACAAGGCCGTTCTGCTGGAGAGATCATGGTCCTTGCACCAATGGACCCCGTCATCCTCTGCAGGCCTGCAGCTGTAGGAGGTGTCACTAAAATTTTGAATCCCGAGAGACTTTCCCACCTCAACAGACTACTTCTTCTCTTTGGCTTCTTCACTCAGGAGAAGATGGCAAACTAGCACTGGAGAAGCACAAATTAATGTCTCATCTTAAGATTTTTCATTTCTCCATTTGCATCTTTGGGTCTCCTGTAAACTCAGCCGCAGTCTGAGTGCAAGTACATAGCACACTCAGCTGTGTCATGGAGTATCATGTACCACCAAGGCAGCAGCATCCCCACCTATGTCCACAATGGCTATGGGGTGGTGGTAGCAGATACTAAGCCACGGAAAAGAGAGGTGGCCTTTTAACAGCACTGGGCTGGCACTCAAGGGGGCTCCATTTCTGCTCCACATACACAAATCTAGGTGGTCTTGGCATGTAATTCACTCCTCCAGAAAGGCACATGGTGTTTGAATGGTGTCTCAGGGAACTGCTGGTAACAACCTCAGCCTATGTTTAACTGCAGTGGGAGTAGAAGGGGTTACTATTTCTTGCTGGAAATGTGAGAGCTTTGGCTTCTCTTTCTTTTCACTGAGAAAAGAATACAGATTTTGGAAGTCAAGATGTAAGAAGGAAGGCAGGTGAGTTTTAAAACATAGTTGGTCATCATTCCCATTTTAGGGGATGTGTGTGAAGGGGCACAAGGTGCCCTTTGGTCTCTCAGAGCCAGAAACACCATGATGGCATCACCTCCTCTTCTCTGGTACCTCCACCAAGCCCTGGCTGTGCCAAGAGCATGCCGGGGCATTGCCAGAGGTGCCTGCTGCCAAGATGCAATGTCTTGCTCTTCACCCCAAGGAAAGCTGAGGGGGTTTGTGGCTCCCAGCTTTCTTGGTTCATTGTCTGTCCACTGCATTTGTTTCTTTGAAAAGATTGAGCCTAAGAATGTATTAATAAAAGGCTGTAAGGTACATTAGGAAAACAATAGCAACATAACAAACAAAAAAAACCCAAAGAAAAACACAGGAGAGAAAGGCTGTAATCACACAGGGTGAGGGCATCCCCTTCAGTGACAACCTTTTATACCTGTTTGCCTTCATGGTGGAGCTGGAAGGCAGCATGTTGTTAGCAAGGATCAGGCCCCAAATCTTTCGCATTAATCAAAGGAAAATATTTTCTTAAAACACCAGGGGAAGGTTTCCCAGTGAAATACACACAGATGTTTTCTTTTTAAATGTAAATCAGTGAGGGAATGGACAGTTTAATTAAAAGTAAAATTATTAGGTAAGTGCTCAGGGAATCTACTTTATTTGCTGGGTACACTCACATATTTTTACTGGTGAGTCAATTGCAATTTTTAATTTCTTTCCACTTAATAAGACCAGCTCAGAGACTAGCCACTGTGATGTGGAATATTTGGGGGAGGATTTTTCCATGGATAGCAGGAATGTCTGTCCTGTGTGCAAGTTGTGGATGCCTAGGCAGCTTGCTATGGTATGTCCATTCTGAGCCTTACATCGCTGCTAATCACAGTATCACCAAATGTTCTGAGTTGGAAGTGACCCTCAAGGATCCTCATTAGCAAACACTCATTATAGGCTGCTTCTGCAGAGATTTTCTCACCTGGAGATTTTGAGTCCTATGAACTGAAACACTTGGAGTAATGGCTGTCTGGGATGCTAAGGGAAAGGGGCTATAGTTTTAACTGACTTCACACCCTGCTGCTACTCTGTTACTAGACTCTGCTCTCTTCAGTATCATCCATCCCTTTACACACAAGCCTTTTTGCAGGCAGGTGTTTTGTGAAAGCCCCTTCCCTCAAGCCCCTGCATCCCTTTTCAGCATGGTGAATGATACAGACAGACTCCTGAGCACATCAGAAAACAGTTAGCGAAAATATGCTGCATACTTGAGTGGGGTTGAGGACTGATGGCTCAGCCATAGCTGAAGTTCAAAATAAGACCACAAAAGCCTCCAACAAAATTATCCCACGCACCATCGAGTGGGACTCTATAAGAACTCAGATATTTTTACTGAGTCTGAACACCAGTGGCTTCCTCAGTGCAGTTCTTGTGATGTAAATGCCTCTTTCGGGGGTAACACATGGATTTATAATGTAGACGTACAGAGGAATAAGACTTAATTCCCACTATGAAACCAGATGATGCAGATAAAGCCTCAGTGGCTTCAGCAGATGTACCCCAATTCAGACAGGAGTGTGGCAATGGACAGATGTTGTGAAACGCTTCAGGTACCACGGATGGCAGAAAGGTGCAATGAAAGCACACAGCCTGATTAGTGCCCGGGGGAAGGCAGAGATCTGGGTCACCTCATCCAGGCCTACCACCACATATGATCACATTTCTGAACTTTCTTCCCCATCAGGAGTATCACTGAAATAAATGCCCTAAAAATGATGTGGCCTCTCTGTTTGAGGGGTTAAAAACAATTTCCCATCACTGAGCTTTTGCAGTTGGCTCAGGTATTGTTGCAGGGTCTTGGATCCTTTTCTTCTTATTATTAATAAAAGAAACTTTGAAATATATTTTAAAAAGTGCTTATCAGATAATGAAATTCTAGCTATGGTTGTCTTTCAAACAACCAGGGCCATGATTTAATTGGAAGTAATTATAGTCTTTTCTGAAGTATAATTTTTAGGGTATTTTTTCCCCTGACATTTTCAGTGTGGAAATTAAAAATAAAACGATGTCAGAATCACAAGATTTCAATCTGTCTTCAAACAATAATGTGGGCTAGTGTCAGAGGTTTGTCCTTGGCTGGAAGGAGGAAAAACTCACTGAAAAAAATCCTTATGGTGAAAATCGCCAGTAGCACCCATCTGTACACTTTCTGTGCTCAGAAATTCCTGGGAGACTCCTGCTTCCCAGAGCTCACTAGAAAGCCTCCTAGCTCTGGTGCAGTGGGAAAGGGCACAACAGTACCTAGCTCCTGAAAGCACCACATTTTTGATGCAGGCTTTGTTAATTATTCCACTGGTAAAGGCTGTATTAAGAGACACAATTAGAGCAAGGAAAAAACTTTTCCCATTCTACACAACAAAGATTAAATGTAGTCCTTATATCCTGCTGAAAACAATCAAGGGTGTAACAAAGGTATTTCCATGATTCTTTTCCCCCCAACACTTTTTTCAGATTTTAAAGAGGAAGTTTTTCAAAGTATCTCTAAATTTTGCCCTGTTTTCACTTTGCAATTCCTCAGCGTCCTTTGGTGAAACCACCAGTGCATCCTCTAAACTCCAACTCACACACTCTACCTTACTTAAAATGCTATTGCCAAGGGAGGGACAGTCTCCACCAACATCAACTTAACTTTTTTGGTTGCCAGTGGCATCAGCAGGGCCCTATGGTCAGGCCCTCAATTCCTATCAGCCTTTGTGGTTCTACTGGTACTGGATGCTATGATGCCCTGGGCACACATGCTTCTCTAAATACAGCCACCCAGAAGGAAAGTTTGGCCCAGACTTTTAAGTCACATTCTTCAGACTCCAAATAATTTCTGTATGGATGCAGATGTGCACATGAGGAATTATCTTGAAGTCTGAACTCTCTGCTTCTGGATCTGAAATTTTATATGTAATGACCATTTTAAACCTGTTCCTGAACACCAGTCAAAGAAACTACTTCAGATTAAAAGGGCAACACGTATGAAAAGAAAAAGCTACATATGAGGCAGGTTGTGATTATATCATTGTATAAAGTGCTGTAGAAGAATGTATGAGGGATGCAGAACTGAGGTTCTGCAGAATGTGTTGACTTTTTGAAGAGGCACCAACTATCATTATAGACTCTATGGAGTTATTAACCAGATGATTTACAAACCAAATTCCTACTGGGCAATACCTGCCTGGTCCACTTACGTATCCTGCCTCACCACTCAACTTTATTTATCCCATTCTCCACTCTCCTCCTTAAAAAATCCCATTGTGCGGCATTACCAGCAAAGAACAACTATGTTTCATCTCAGATATGGCTTCAACAGCAAGGTAAGAGATTTCCATCTATTCTTCAGCCTCTGAAACAGCCTTTTCAAATAAAGGTGTTTTATTAAATGGGAAAAAAAATTATACAGACTGAGGTAAAATTTTGGTCAGGCCTTGTAAAACAAACTCAGTGACTTTAAAGTAGTAAAACTTTCTGTGGCACTTAGCCTAAGCTGATCTTCTATACTGTACTTTAGGGATAAGTGCAGATGTGCTGACAGAAACCTCGGGGCTTCCAACCCATGCGCTGTGTAGAGCCTTGAGGGAATTTCTGGAAAGCAACTACTTTTCAAAGTTAAACATTTTTATCTCCCCTCCCAAAATGTCCAGCAGACCAGCAGTGTTTCAAAGACAAGCACACGTGTTTACTTCCATGACTTTCATGCTTTCAACAGAAAATATTTGAAATTGCAGGCAAAGTTTCCAAGAAGGCAGAGATGAAGATTTTCATTGCTTAGATTAAATTTCCCAGTACCTTCCAGCAAGACTCCTGCCTTTGCACCACTCCCTCACTCAACTGGAAGCCTGGAGGTCTGAGCCCGTTACTTGACCACAGATCTGTTTGGGGACTTGGTGTGTTTAGGCATTGTGGCCCAAGGAGTATATTTGGTACACTCAGTGCCTGCCACAGCACAGCACTGAGCTTGGTGGGATGGGAAACACCTCCAGTATTTGCACTTATTTGGTTACTTAATGGACGTTATCTCCTTCTCCAGCCCAGATCTCTACAAGAGCCAAACCTGACCATGATGTCCATCACTGTTAATGCTGTACCAATAGTAATAGCTAAGTTGTTGGTGATGGGTTCACACAAAAGCATTGTTCCTTGTTGGTTAGCCGCAGCCTGTGACTGTGGCTTTAACAATTGTGATGAGCAGGTCTTGTCTTGGGACCCTGCTGCCCACCCGCTTCTATGCTGAGAAAGTCGAATAAATATTTACTACTTCTCAAAATAACACCCAGCCACACTCACCCTTACCACTGCAGAGTAGTTCATCTAATTGAAATAAGAACATAAGTAAAATGTTTGTCAAGGCAGTTTATTAGGAAAAGATTGCTGTGTCAGGAGCTCCCTCACTGCGAGAGATGCTGTGTTGTCTCTCTTAATATTTAATGTCATTTTAATAATATTCCCCAGTTAGGGGGGCAGGCTGGTGCTATAGACTAAAGGCCAGGCCTGCCAAAGTGGAGAGGAATAAAAGCTTGAGGTCAGCTTCACTCCACTGACTTACCCACCTGGAGGCTGGGCAAAGAGCAGTGTTGCTCTTCTTCCAAGGGACTCAGCCATGCCCAGGTCCTTCTCTGTCTGCAACTTTCTTTCAGATTTGTGGATGTTGCCTTTCCTTACTCAGAATGACACTTTAAAAAGGTTAGGGCCACATCCTGAGGTGGTAGAGATGAGAAACCCACATTTTTCCTTTGACAAACCTGTTTCTCATTGCAGTGCTACTCCATTTGGGCTCATTAATCAAACAGTACCATAAACTACTGAATTTCTCCCAAGCTTGTGATTACATCTGCAGCTACAGCACTCCTGCTTTCTTTGGCAGCTCCCTCTGGGTTAAACTCAGAGGTGCTTTATCTCAAGGCATGGGGAACTGCAGCTTAAGCATCAAAGGTCCCCACTAGTAAAACATACAACAATGCTGCCTCTGCGTTGCGCTCCAGCCCTCACAGACCTGCCCTGGCTGCAAAGCTCCTGCACAAGAGGGTGCCCCAGTCCCTACATCATTCCTCCAGACTTCTGGCAGTGATACCCAGCTCAGGCTCTTCCTCATTGTGAAAGACTCCCTGCTGAAGGATCATGGAGTCAGAGCCTTTTGAAGCTGCTGCATAATAAGCTGTATTCTTTTTCTAAACATCACTAGACAGTTCAATAATAATTACATGAACTTTGTAATCAGCCAAACCAGCGTAGGCATCTACTGACCTGCACATACCATTTGTGAGTAATTTTACATAAAGGGCAGGTACTTTTGTACTTAGTGCACAGGACTTGTGCACAAACAGCTATAGAAGGAGGGCCCAATTATAAATAAACAATCCTTAGTTGTCACTTTGCTGTCTCTGACTTCCCACGCATTCAAATGGTGAGACTGATTCATTTAATCTTACTCTAAAGCAGCAAGCCACAGAGGCAGTTTCCCGACAGTTGCTTAAAAAAGTGTAGCTGAGCTCTCTTGTCTTCCCTTGTATTATATTTAGACATTGTGATTAGACTATCTGTCACGATATGCTTTAACTTTAAGGCAGAATTTCGAGCTGCTTTCTGAAAGCAAACAGAGATGATCCTAGGAACCAAAGGGGCATGAGCGCCAGGTTTCAGCATTTAGGAGCAGGGATCTTCAGTGCTGCTTGCACTGCCGGCTCCCCCAGCACAGCCAGCCTTATGAAACCTGAGTTTTCAAATAAGTGCAACACTATTTACCATAATGAGACTTCTGGGAAGGGTGGAGGCAGTGAAAGACTTAGCGGCTGTTTCCAAGCGTTTTAGCAATATCAGCTGAGCAATTTTTATGATCTTCCCTTCTGCCCTTCTTCCCTCTTCTCCCCCCCCAAACCTGGCTATTCTTGTCAAAGGCTTGGATGCAAAATCTGGACAGTCCTGTCATATGAACATGGCTTTTACACATTTGTGTCACTGCAAAGCAGATTATAATGACTATACTTCATTCATTTTATTCTGATGAAGTCAGTGGAGGTTTCAGCATAGATACAAACTCGAGCAGCTCTGCTCTTGACAATTGCATGCCAAAGAGAATAACTGAAAGCTCTTATTTTGCTAAATATGCTATTTAATATTTTCTAATGCTCTGGTAAAAACAGTCAGTGAATGTGGAGCTTTACACATTTCTGTATTATTATGGAGGAGGTTACTAGAGTTACACCGAAGGAGGTTTCCTTGTTCTGTGATTTGCTTTGCCAGAGCACTTACCAGACACTGAACTGCGAGTTTACCTGCTGACCACCATCTGTGATGAGAAGACCCCCAGATTCTGTCAGACTCTCAGCCACTGCTCTGGCTGCGGGAGCCTAGCAAATATGACCAAAATCTGGCAGACAGGACAAGGTGAAAGACCCTCTGGGCCCTAAGGTACATGGGGAGACAGGGAGGGTTCTGTGAAGAGGCCGAATGGTAGGGAGCAGATGCCACACCTCTGTTGCCTTTGGTTAACCTGGAATAAATGCTGCTGTGGAATTTAAGACACTGAATTAAAAGGTGAGTTTCTCCCATGTGCCATGTATAGGATGCCTGTCTCCTCTAGCTGGTCTACAGAGAACTGTAAATCTTCTATTGCTTCCATATACCCTCGTAGAAACTTGTGTTTTTAATTTAGCATGTAGAAAACTTGAAGTTCTACATCCAGATCATAATGTTGGTCCAAAGATGAATGGATTACCATTCTTTTAGGATCTTCTATATTCCTCTTCTTTCAGATAAAAATGTCATGATAGAAGTTTTCCACCATCCCTGTGTCTCTAGAGAGAATCTTGGAGACTGGAAGGTGACTTTTCTGTGAAATGGTCTCAATATCATTCCAAAAATACTTCATAATTTGGAGTCTGCTCCTCAACCTCCAGCAGAGATCAAAGAGATCCCAGAAAAAAATTGAGCAACATCCATTCCTAGGAGCTGAGCCTTTGGCTATAATGAATCAATCAACTACCCTTTTATCAGCCAGATATAAGTTGACCTGGGGCATTTTGGAGCCAAAGGCTAGTGTAAGGCTGCTGGTTTAGGCTATTTTTCCATCAAAATATTGAGTCCAAAGGAAGATCTTTGTTTTCAAACATTTTTTTTTTTTACATCTTGTTGTTATTTTCACCTTCAAGCTTGCTTGGCCAGTTGGATATGAAAAGCTTGTTTTTGCTTCCTAGTGGTAAGATCATCTGTTAATGGTATGTATGGGGTGCTAATTACTATCTGCCCTTGGTATTTATGAGGTTCCAGTTGCTACAGGAACTAAGTGCCACATACAATACTAAGATAAGCATAAATGTTATTGAGCGTGGATTCTGCTATTCCCACCCTAGTGCTTGGCCCCTTTGACTTGAATACTTTGTCCTCTCCCTCATACTCCTTTTCATACTTGCAAGGCATCTGGAAAACACTGAGTTATGTGCTTTGCTGTGAAGAAGCCCTGGCTTGTGAGTGAGTGAGCTCGAGAGTGGCCCATGGCTCCATCTCGGAGCTTCTGTCCCTCATGCTGGCAGGTGACCCAAGGCCCCGGCACTGTGACCAGCAGCCCTGGGAGCAGAGCCCACAGAGCCTGGGTCTGCTTTGCCAGGAGCCTGCGCACCAGCTGCTGCTGAATTGCTTTCCATAGGATGTCTTCTAAAATCCAGCAAAGTGTGGCCACTGGGAAAGCTGAAATCAATTGAGGTGCTACTTCCCAGCCTGTGCACCGTCACAGAAGGTGTACCAGTCAGAGAGTGTGGAAAGCTTTGAACTATTTTGACCAGGAGCTCCTGAGAAGCCAAGAGCTTCTGGAGCCTTGCTAGTGTTAATGTGAAGAATTTCTTCTGGCTACTGGTGCTAAAGAGGCAGTTTGCTTCTCAGACAAACTAGATCCTTTGTCCAACTTGACCACTGCTGTGGCCAGAGATACAGTCTCAGCCTGATTCTGAGAAAAGCAAGTGCCTGGAACTCCATTTCTACCACTACAGAGAAATTATTATGATCCCACAAGAAAGCTGATTTGAGATGAAAAAAATGCAGGTCACAGTAGCAGCTAATTCTTAAGTGGGACAGGCGTAAACTTCTTTAATGTGGATATTGAAGGGGACATATTTTGTTTCTATTATTACTTGACTATGGGAGACTAAAGGGAAATTTTTTCACAACCAAAGAAGTATTTGAAAGAAGTTTTTAAAACATGTGAAAATTAAAACAAACAGTTAGGAAGGAAATTGAAATGAAGCATCTGTGTAAAACTTTTTCTTCCTCTTTTTGATCAGTTCTGATGGTTCTACTTGATGTCCAAGGAGAAAGCTGGAAGTGATTTAGAGATGAAGAAGAAAGGAATGGCACTGCTGTTTTAGAGACAAAGAAGAAAGCTACGTCCTGCCTATGGGACAGCAATCCTGGGACACACCGAAAATGCTTGAATAAAGAAGGTGCCTTGAACCAACATTTATCTCCTGCTTACCCTTACAGCTATTTCCTTACCCTCAAATTTTCAGGAATGAAAAGCTGTAGGGACTAGGACTTTTCCTTTATGTATCACTGCTCACTCAAGACTTTCAGACTATTACACAAATAGCAGTGATGTGCTTGGCAGGAGCCCTTTGAAGCACATACTGCCATTCCTGCCAGCTTGGCTTCCCCAGCAGAAGAGCACAGTGGTCGAGGGAGATGAAGGGATGGAACCTGCAATGCTGGGATACCCTCACCTTCTTCACCCTCCCAAGTTGCTCGTGTCCCCCTTGCTTTGCCCCCACACAGGTTTCTGACCTCACAGCCCACCTGAGGCCAGGCTCTGTAGGGATGACAGCTCATTGCCAGACACTGTGGTACACCAGGCAAACAGGGAGTGGGCACCCAGCAGCCAGTGACCAGCAAGCCAAGGAGCCCTTGATTGCTGAGGGCTGCTCCATGACGCCAGTAGGTTTGCAGAGAACAAGCAGGGCTGGAGTCAGGTTACACTGAGTCCCAAGGACCAGGCAGCAGCTTCCCAGGGAAAATACATGCCCACGTAAATAAAGAGGGAAATAATTATAAGGGTGTAATTAACTGAGCAGAAGCAAAAATGGAAAGCAGAAGCAGAGCTGAAAGACAAAAAGAAAAGAAAAGCGCTTGAGCTTTTTTGTAGATGCAGAGGCTTGCATTTTGCATTTAAAGAAATAGAGGAAGAAATTTAAATATGTATTTAGGAAAAAAAAATTCCAGTGGGAAATGTGTAAAGAACCAGAAGCTTTTGTGAGGCAGCCCCTGAAGAGACAAAGCTATAAATGCACAAATCCAAATATCAACCTTTGCTTCTTCAACAGTAAAAAAAAACAAACAAGTAATTCGTTCTGTACAAAGTGAAAGTAAACTTCTGGGAAAGCACCTGAGGACAGTGCTGGGAATTGCTTACCCTGTCATTTTTGCTCCTGTCACTGGGCAGTATAAGTGAGGTAGTTATTAGAAGTGTTATTTATTCCAAGAAACATTGCATTCCTTTTTTCTCCCCACTACCTTGCTTATAGTCAGGTGTATTTATTGAAACATGCTCAAAGCCCTGAGTTGCACTACCATCCGCCTCCCAGCATCATCCACTCAGCTGGCCAGTGGAAGGATGAAAGACTCCCATCCACTGAGAGACCCTTCTTTCCCACAGAATCATGGAAGCGTTTGCATTGGAAGGGACCTTTAAAAGTTATCTAATTCAACCACCCTGCCACAGACAGGGATATCTTCATTTAGATCAGGTCACTCAGAGCTTTATCCAACCTGACCTTGAATGTTTTCACAGATGGGGCCTTCATCACCTCCCTGGACAACCTGTGCCAGTGTTTCACCACCTTCATCATAAAAAATTTCCTGTGTATATCAAAGCCTGAATCTACACTCCTTTAGCTTAAAACCATTGCCCCTTGTCCTGTTGCTGCTGTCCCTACTAAAAAGTCTGTCCCCATCATTCTTATAAGCCCCCATCAGGTACTTGAAGGCCACTATAAGGTCTCCCAGGGGCCTTCTCTTCTCCAGTTAAACAACCCCAATTCTCTCAGCTTTTCCTCACAAGTGAGGCGCTGTAGCCCTCTAATTGTCTTCCTGATCCATCTCTGAACCTGCTCCAACAGGTCGATATCCTTCCTGTGTTGGGGAACCCAGGGCTGGATGTAGTCTTCCAGGTGGGGTCTCACCAGAGCAGAGAAGATGAGCAGAATCACCTCCTTTGACCCGCTGGCCACACTTTTGATGCAGCCCAGCACACAGCTGGTTTTCCAGGCTGCAAGCACATATTGCTGTCTCTTCATTCTTCTCATTAAGGAAAAACTGACAAAAAGGGTAGGTCTTATGGCACATCCAGAAAACCAGCAGCTGCCAATGAAAAATCTCCCTTGGACTCAGATACAGAGGATGGTTCTTAGTCCCTTCCTAGAGGGATGTCCTACCCATTAAACAAGCTGGTGGTGGGTGAAACTGGGGCAAGCACTAAGTAGAAAATGGCTTATCAGGGAAGCAGGATCTCACTTACAGAGCTCCTGACTGAAAACCTAATCTTTAACTTTCTTCCAAAAGGCTAGGTGGAAAACAAGTCTAAATATGCTTTGTTTGCTCAACAACACAAAATACCTTCTGTACTCAGGTCTCTCATGTTTCAGGATGAAAGAAAATTCAGCAGGCGATTTGTCACCAAATTAAAGTCACCACTATCAAAATCATTCTGAATCCAAAAGAAAGGAATAAATTTGATTGTACCTGTAGAAATGTATTTGGGGCAATGTTAAAGAGCCTGGACCAGCTGCTTCTCGCTTAGCTCTTATCTTGGAACACCTGCATGGATTGCAGTTGTGGATGGCTGAGTGAGGGCTGGCTGTGCCATGAACTGAGATGGAGGGGCTGGTGCTTGGAGACCACACTGTGTTTCTCTGCCTGGCATACTCCAGAGTCCCCAGAGACGGGAATGTCAGGGACATGCTGCCTGTTTTCTCCAACCTGGTTAGGAGATAAGAGGACTGACACTGTAGGGAAAAGATTCAGGCAATGTGATTAAAAAAAAAAAAAAAAAAAAAAAGTAAATAAGGTAAAAACTCTTCCATGATTTTTTGGGTCTTTGAGCATTCTGGGTTGTGGGGAAGCACAGAACACAGACAGATTTTATTAATTTGATAAACTAGAATGAGTGGTGTATTTTGGCACTCCATCATTGTAACTAGCTTTTGGTGAGACAGGGTTTTTGGCCAGTGCTGTTTCTAAGGAGGATTTCTCTGTCCTTATGCTTACCCTGCCTACCAGCCACATGAGAGCTGTGCTGTTTAACCCTCCTTCTCCTCATTTGTATTCCCCATTCCCACACAACCCATAGGCAGTGTAGCATTACTCCCCTCCCCCAAACTTTCCCTCTTTCAATTGGTGTCACCACAAAGGAATAGATTATTACTGACACTGATTCCAATTTAATCCTTCCAATAATCTGATTTTTCCAAGCCTATTTATATCCTTGAAATGACAGTAAGGTTTAAAGTGGTACAAATATCTGAGCCTAAGCGCTGTTACTATCCACACCAGTCTGTTCCAGTTTTGACCCTCCAGAATAAAGTGTAACCTCAGATATTATTTGATAAATCGCTTCCCAAGTGTTTGTAGTGCTAGACTGGTCCTTGCTTAGTCTTTTTGACTAGCTTTTTCACATTACAGGTTTACTCTCTGTTACACTGGTAACAAGCTGAAGTCCCAAAATAAGTTTTAAAGCTCATATAAATGTAGAATTTCTTTTCCCTTTGTGGATTTTAATAACTTTCTGGTGTCTGGAAATGATCAAGAAGTAAAGCTTTCATAGCAATGTAAGAAGTATAAACCCACTCTAGTTTGTTATTTCATCCAGCAACCTGAGAACTTTTTTTATTTTCCTGGGCTTTAAGGTGATCAGCCAATGTTTTCTCCCATCCCCAATCTCCTTAAGAAGCTTATTAATGTTTTACATTCAAAATAAAGACAAACCAATCTGAAAACAAAGCCATACTTAGGGCTGCACATTGTAAATGTGTTTGCTGGACTATTTCCACTATTTGTAACCAATTAATTTTAATATTGCTCCTACTTCTTGCTAGATCTGCAGAACTTCAGCTCACACATAGCCAAGGAGTAGTTCAACCAGAAGTCAGCAGGTTTTTGTTCTTTTTTTCCCCCCACTCTTATAATTCAATGCACTGACTTGTTTATATAACCGAATCCTTTTGTTTCTCCAAAAGGGACTTGGCTATTTCACTGAGCGGCAACACCCGTGGTAGGTGATAGTCTGTTTTTTCCAAAGCAAAGACTTCGGTTTTCTGCAGAATTTACATTCCAGTAATAAATATTTAAAGGAACTGTGATGGAACTGATGCAAAGAATGTCTCCCTGAAACGCACACACACACGTGAATACACACACACACACACACACACACACACACACACACACACACAGAGACAAGGACACTCACAGTCAATTAGTCTGGGGTCACTCTGATGCAGATGGTGCCTCTGCTCAATCCCTGAAGTAGTTTGCTTTTGCCATTAGAAAACTTGGCTACTTTGGATTTTTAATACCCCATAAAAAGCTTATAAAATGTTATTCTTTATTGTGTATGTAGCAGATCATTCAAACATCTATGTCAAAGGCATTTTCTGTAGTAGGGTCTCTTTCTGCCCCTAAAATAAGTGCTAGAAAGAATACAGTCTGTGCTGATTCCTTGCTGTCCTTTCTCAGGTATGAGCTTTAAGATTTTCAATCATCTTTATTTTATTTTGCAACAGACTAAAATAAATGACAGCAGAATGGCAGTTTTGGAAGATAACAGGGCTACACAACTACCTTTTGGCTTCATGTGTAGTGTACTATAAAGCAAATGAGACACTGATGTACTTTTCGATTTACAAAGCCTGTATTTGCCCCTGTGGGCATAACAACAGGTGATGTCTTACTTAATGATGGTGAAGATTTTATATATGACATAAACAGAAGAGCTGCTTTTTAAAAATCTTTTAAAAAAAGAAAAAAAAAAAGAGAATATTCCAATGCTTTTGATGAAGTAGAGTGATTTGACTCCAAAAAGCAGAATAATGAAAACCAAAAGGTGAAAGCAGGAAGAATGTGGCATAAATATTGGAGTTACCTGCAAATGTGTCCCTCTGCAAACCAGACAGTATTTATTCTGTACAGTTTTATCCTTTTCATTTGCATTGAATACTGCCTACATTAGTAGCGCTACAGCTGGCTGAGTATAATGCCCACTGAACACTGCCCACCCAGGACGTATCAGAGCTTCCTTGTCCCTTCTCATGCCCTGGACTGCCTCATTCCATGGCCAGCTTCACCATGAGGAGGCCTGTTACCCGTGGAGGAGTTAAAGGGCTGTAAGGCAAGAGGTTGTGAGGGGGAGGGTTACATGTTGGGTTTTTGTTTTGTTTTTGTTTGTTTGTTTGTTTGTTTTCTATTCCAATGTCTAGGGCTAAGCAGCAAAATAGTACTTCTTCTCCATTTCCACCCTATCTCTGTTTTTTCACCTTTGAAATCTGGTTATTCTTAGCTCACTAGGTTTAATTTGCTGACCTGACATGAACATATCCATCTTTCATGTTGATCCTGGCTTAAACTCAGCAGAAACAGAAATAAGAGTGGAAAATAACCCATCTGACAGCTGGAGACAATGCCACTGAACCAGTTCAGGACAAATGGAGGGTGGTCATGGGTGTGTGGAAGGTTTCTGTCTGCTCAAGGTAGTCCACAGCTAGAGAACAAAAGGGTGGGTGTCTGTGGACGTGTGCATGGACATGCACACACCAGTGGAAAAGCAGGGATAAATGCTTTTATATTCATCAGCCCTCATGGCTGGATTCAGCTTTGTGCAGGCATCGGTGCAGGGAGGCAGCCCTGGAAGAAGTTTACCTTCACTGAGAGAGACCTTTGGAATGGATCAGCTGGCTAGGAGGGGGAATGATCAGCTGCAGGAAAAGGGAGATTCATGTAGGGTGGGAGAAGCTCCTCCTAGGAGAGGGGCAGGCAGGGATGGAGGCAGGAGGGCCTCCCACTCCTACAGCACACTCTTCCCATGCCAGCCCTGCTCCATCTGCTGGCAAGAACGATGTGAAGACTCTGCCATTTTCCCGCCGGGATCCAGGCCTTCCTGTCCTCCTCCTTGGCCCAGATTCCCTCCATGTCTTCATTTTATCTGCCACAAGTGGCAAGGGTGAGATGAGCAGAGCCTTCCCCAGGCACAGGAGGGGAAATAACCCTTACTCTTGGATTCTAGGACAAGGAACTGCTCTCCCATGAACTTCCCTCTACTTTAGACTCTAACACGTTGTGGAAGTTACAAATTAAGTATTGTGCACATTGGGTATTTACCCAGTGTGTAAATAGGCATGTAAACCGGTGATCACTGCTCACCTATGGCCAGTCATACCCCAGTGGAAATACCCTGTAAATCCCCTGAGGCTGCATGGCAGGCTGGGATAGGGAGTGAGATGGCGACATCAGCTCCTGCCTCAGCAAGTGCCCAGGAAAGCACGGTGGAGCTGTGAAAGGTGTTCAGGGAAAACACCTCTGCTTTGCTGCTCAACAGTTTGCAGGGTTATTGTTTTGGCTCTGCCTCCATTTTTCCCTTGCCTACTAGGTGTTTAAGAGAATGGGCTGAGGAAAGCTCTGGCTTTTTCAAAATATGGAAGCAAAATGGAAAGCTTTTGCCATGTGTGAGCCTGCATGGCATTGCAAACTTGACTCACTGTTCTCTGCACAAGGAGTTGCAGGCTGGTTGCAGCTCCCCTGTGAAAGGAAGTGGGATTTTTTAGCTCTGGCACCATTGGCCTTAAACGTTTTTTCCTCTTGTACTACCTTTTGCTATAGAGAAATCATCTGCACCTGGATTTTGCTTCTCTTTTCCGTGTGGGAAAAGAAGCATGTTCATCCTGCTGTGGCTCTTACATATGGCTACTCTTTCAGCTCTGCATTACAGGCAGTCAGGTGAATGGGGTGGGTTGCGGTTCCCCACGTCATCTGGTCCCTCAGGGAGGGAAGGAGGGCAGCCAGTGTCAGACCAGTGTTTACAGAAAGTTTAGTCTCCAGTGGATTTCCCTACTCCAGTGAAACAATAGGAGGGTCTTGTGCTATATTATCCACACTTCCTCCTTATTCTGATATTATCTGTGAATTCTTGCAAATAATAGATGACTGAGACCATTTTTGTTCTGGGAAATAGGAAGATGAAAACATTAGACAATTTCAATAGACTTATTCATGGCATATGTAGTTATGCAAGTCAGGAACTAGCAAAATACCTGTTGGAATAAGTAATAGTTCTGTGTATTCACAAAAGCAGTTCTCTTACACCTCCATTTCAGTAAGAGATATTGTCAAAACAAAAGAAGAGTTCGAAACAAAACGAAAGTTCAAAACAAAAAAAAGAAAGCAAACATAATTCCACTCTTAATGCCACAAGATCTTGGGAAGCAATCCATTCCAGCTCTTCTATGTGTCTGCTTTAATACAGGCATTCTGATGTTCTGATATAAATTGCATGCTGGTGATTAATAGATCTTCTATCAGTTGGACTTGAACTGAAGTCAAAGGAACATACTCTTTTTTTTTTTTTTTTTTCCACCCCATCTTCTTTTCCTTTTCTAAACCTGCATTAAAATAGATTATTCAGAAATCTTGGAATGAAAAGTGCTAGGTCAAAACTCACATTTTTCTAGCAAACCTATGAAAACTTACTTTGAAAAGTCACATACTGTAGAAGGTCAATTATCCTGGAAGTCTTATGGCTTAAATATGCTTTTCACGAGCTTGTTCTAGAAGTACGAAATGAGCTGTAGTGCTTTGCAAAGCAGCTAAACCCTTCCCTGGCCCAAATGGAATCCAGAAGCCATTCAATGGATTGACTTGGATGCAGAAGTCCTGCAGCGTCCCTTCAGTCCCGTGCAGAGCTAGGCTGTGTCTCAGAGCTAGAAGCCACGGAGCAGTGGTTCCTCTAAAGTTCTGGCAGGACTCTGTGTCTGCCTCTGCGTCACGTCCCCCTCATCTGGGAAGTCTTCTTGCATTGTCATGCAACTGCACAGAGATGGCTGTAGTGTGGTGCTCCGTAGAAACTTTATGGGTACCACCTGTCTCCACGCTAAAACCTCCTGCCTCACTCATTATTATTATTATTTCCTATTATCTAGAACCTCCTTTCCTTCTCCTCCTCCTCCTCCTCTTCACCCCAGTTAAAGGGGGCCTGTTGGTATATCCATGGGCTTAATAATTAGTGGTCTCGGAAGAACTTCTCTGGCTCGTTGTACATTAACATTGTTGACATTTTTTGTGCATATGCAATTAATAAAAACTGGGCAAAACTTTAAAGCTTTGGCTATACTCTGGACAGATTATGAATTTTATGTTCTCTGTGAAGTATTGTTAATACTTGCTACCCACGAGGACTAATTACTAAGAGCAGATTTTACTCTGAAAGGAGGGCTTTCTCTCCTCTGCACAGCCTTCCTCTCCACATTTCAAAACCAAACATTCCCAGTGAGGAAAATAGGGCCATGTTCCCAAAGGGGTTTTTTGTCAGTCTTGTGGCATTTAGTGTTCCTATTTGATCTCCCAAATTCGGGACAGCAGTGACTGCGTGAGAAACTTCATATCTAGTTTTCCAAAGAAATGCCTAACTTTTGGGAACAGATGCCTAAATAAAGGCTCAAACACAAGGCAGAAACAGAACATGCAGTTTAGGCTCACCTTGCAGAAGTCCATCAATTTGGGTGAAGGTAGCTTTTGAACTGAAATCCTGAATGGGGCAAACTAATTCAGAGTAAAGCACTGTTGGTGGGAAATCCATGTCCAGCACAGGGAAGGGGAGTTCTGCAAGTGGAGCTACTCTGCAGCTACTCCCAATGTGGATAAGCTTTTAATTACTTTTAAAATCTCACCATTACTAAGCCATGCTTATAATTTCTAGAGGCCTTGAGTTTCTGGAACAACTGGAGTATGAGATTCAATTGCATTCACTTCAGTGGAGGATACAGTTAAGTATCGGCACGTTTGTCGGCTTGAGGCCAGTCATTAACTAATTAGTGTATGGGAACATTTAAGTTTTTCCCATCTGATTTTGCAAAGTTGTTTGGCAATACTTGCTTATGAGCATTTTTTTTCTCACTTTTCCCCTCTCCCTTCACACCAAAGCAAACACCCACCAGAAGCAAAAAGAGAATTGGAATACAGTAACATCCCATTTTCCCCTTACTGTAGGCAAAAATATTTGCTGATTTTGCTATTTTTTTTTTTAGTGTAGACACACTCACACACACACATATATATATATAGCTTTTCAAAAAATATTTAAAAGGTTTCAGAGTGTTAGTTTCCTTTGCGGCCGCGCAAAGCCTCCCTTCCCCGCAAGAGCATGTCCGTGGGAACGGCGAGGGGGGCGGCGGTGGAACTACAACCCCCAGAGGGCGGGTCGGGAGGCAGCCGAGCGAGAGCAGGGCGAGAGGGCGCGGGGCCTCCTGGGAGCTGTAGTTCCGCGGCCCCGCCTGGTCCCTGCCCAAGCACCTGTCTGTCCCGTGGGAGGCAGCGCTGACTCCGCGCCCCACCGCTCCCCTCGGGCTGTTGCAGGGCTGCTCCCTGCTGGCAGCCCAACCAGGAACCGCTGGAGGAGGCACGGAAGACACATAAAGGTTATAAGGATCTCCTAGTACTTGCCGTGGAGTAGGTGAAGGAGCAGTGGTGTAAAACCTGTTGTCCCCCCCAGTCCTCCTCGCCCTGTGCTTTTGGCTGTGAGGTGTTGCCGTGTCGTTCCCGTGGCACATTTGTTGGGCAAAGTCATCGGGGTTTGGTTGGCTGGTAGAATTGTCAGCACGTGGGACCGGCTGTGTGGAGATGTTATTCTCCCCTGCAGCCATGCAGAAGTGTGGCTGTTGGCTCCTTCAGACAAAGGTTAGAGGGATAAATTAACCATTCAATCTTAAAATGAGTGGGGGTGGGAATCCCCCTCCCTACAACAACTGGAAATCTTTCTGTAGCGAGTAAGGGTCTTATCCAAGCTCTTGCTGAATTTAAGCTTGCTTTTTAAGCATCTTTTTTCCTCTTAAGTTGACTTTCTAGGTCTTAGTAGAGAGAATTAGCCAAATACAAATTTGCATAAGTGGCTGCAATAGCCTCTGCCTGTGTACATTTCCTTCTTCCAGTGTATCTGGTGTTAGCTAAACTGGAGGCAACTGACAGTCTCAGGCTGTTCAGATCACTACAGGGAAAAATCCTTGGAAATGCTACCGTTTCATCCTGTTGCTTAATAAAACGGAGCGGTGGTCAACATAGCACAGGGAGAAGAAATGCCTTTGTGTGCTTCATGGGCCGGGTAAAACACTCCTGAACATTTTGGCCACGATCCTCTGGTTCCTGGGAAACTATTCTAGCCTTGCTGTTAGTCCTTACACCTGAGTGTAAATTTGCCAGAGAGTTTTGGGAAATACCTTGCAAAAGGATGCTCTGCACACCTTCCATGGCTGAATACGCACGAGATCCCCCACACATAGAAGGTTGGTTCAATAACACAGTTATAACCTACTGGTCCTTTCCAATTAATAATTTACTAATTATTCTGAGGACTGTAGATTTTTGCAAAACAGTAATTTGCATTACTTATGGTCAGGGTCACTGGTTCTCAGCTATTGCTTCTGGGGTGAACCAGCAAACAGTGGGCAGGCTGAAAACTGTGGGAGCAGAGTGGGAGTTTTTAGTTAAGGCTACCAATGCAAGACCCTATATAAACAAAAAAAGGTGAAAGTGAAGACAGGGGTTAGTCCTAGTTAAAGGTCTCACCCAAGAGAAGATGCGAAAGGCAGTTCTCAGTTCTGCTGGGAATTGCATTTTAATGCCAGCAAAGTAGCTTTGCTGTTGATCTCTGCAGATGTTGCCAAATGCTGAACTGAACAGGTCTGGACAATGAGGCAATTCCCTTCCTGTTCAGAGGCTTGGCAGCTCTGGGTCAACGTGGAGATACGGCTTTTGAGTGTGTTGGGTTTGTGCATCATGGGCACCAGGAGTGCTGTCATACAGAAAGGTGGAAAGCAGGAAGCTAATGAGCCGGTGTCCTCCATGAATCAAGCGTGCAGAAATGTTTAACACAGCGCCCTCGGATCTAAAATGAGGATGGTAGAGGTGTTGGTAAGCAGTGCTAAACTTCCTACCGTCTAGTCTTAAAAATCCCAGCTGCTGTAATGGGGAGGGTCCGTGGGCTACTTTCCATGGGAAGTTTTTCATATACCTCGTAGACCTATGGTGTATTTGATGTTCTTGCTGTTTACAGTATTAGTGGCACTGCTAGTGTGTTTGTAATAGAAACCAACTTATGGAGGCATCTGAATCTGAGAGCATTCCCTACACATTCAAGAAACTTTCTCAAATGTGAACAGCGCTAATATAAAAAACAGGGATCCCACCTGGCATGCAGCCTTGCTGAACTTTGAATGTTTCTCTGTACACTGACAGTACCTATGGCAACTTAACCCAGGGTATGAGAACCTCTGCAAGACTGTCTCCAAAGAGGCATGAAACCACTGAAAACCCTGAGACAGGGCAGGTGCTGGAGGAGGAGGATGGTGGTGGTGGCAACAAGCATTGTGCAGGCAGAAAAAACAGGTGGTAGGTGCCTTTCCTCCCTTCTAGTGGTGAAGGCTGTGCCCACAAAACACGTGGACCTCCCTACTCTATCTTCCCCCAGCGGCCAGTCAGGCTGCAGTGTTTAAAACAGGCATGGATTTTCCTGTTTACCTGTCAGCATGCCTCCCAAATGGCAATTGTGTTGGTTTTGTTTTCCTTTCCTCATACATACCAGAAATCAAATAGCACAACATGGCTAATGGGATCATATTGACCCACCTCTGCCATTGCTGTTAATATCTGGAGAAATTCCCAAAAGCCTCAGCCCCAGTCATAGTACAGTTGCCTGCTCATCTTTCTCTTGCCAAAACAGAGCGAGGTCTTTTTACACTAGCAAGTCCAGTAACTGCTGGTTGAAATTTTGCTTCTTGGTAGTGTTAAGAAGCTAGGGACCAGATTACATATAGAAGAGAATATATAGACAATATCCATTTATGATTGGATAGCAAGTTGTTTTGCAATGTCATTTGAACAGTATTCAAATAGCCAATTTCTTTTTATAAACAAAGGAGGCTGAGGAGGCTTGGGGGTGCTCATGCCTTTTTCTCTCTGTAGAAACATAACCCTCCCTTTTTAAAAAGGTGCATTCCCAATGCAACCCTGGTGTACAGGCTACTAAATTTCAACTGCTGGTTTTATGTCATTATTGCAATTGCAGTAACTCTGTAAGAGACAAGACAAAAGGTTGCTCTTTCCACTTTGAGCTCTTTCCATCCTCCACTTTTACAGCAAAGGTTACCCTAAGCAGTGTGTACATCTGTCTGTTGTAACTGTAGAAATACCTATTATTCATAACTTGCCAATGTATATGCTGGAAAAGAGAAGCTGAATTTATAGCTGTATTTCCTCTCTGCCAGGGCTTTCAGAGTTGAGTGTTTCAGTGTTTCCATTATAAACCTCTGTTTTCTGAGGTTTATAACAGTCTTGAAGAGCGTAGTGGTCTTGAACCATAATAGAAAGTGTGTAATGTTACATTTACAGTACAGTTGTAACTGCACATTAAGGAGTATAATCTTCTCAGTGTACCTACAATGCTCCAATAAGGTTAATTGGAGTTACATATACTAAGAGAAAAACAATATTTTATCCTTGGACTTGGTGCTCTCTATTCAGAGAGCTGAGTGCATCTCACAAGAACAGAGTGCATCTCCCTGCACCAGACTTACAAAAACCCCAGTCCTTGCAACGCTCTTAAAATACTTGCATGCGTCTGTAGGGGCCCCTCTGAACACCTGCATCCCTTGTGTGATGCCTCACTGCTTTACAGACTTGGCCAAAGGAAGCCAAGGTAAAGATAACTGAAAGAAACTGTATTTTATTGAATGTATGGTGAAGCTTTTGTCCTGTGCAGTTCTTCTGCTGTTTCTCTGCCTTTGGCTCCTAGTCTTGCGTACATATAGGTCCCATCTGAAACCCATCTTCTCCCCTTTCAGTCAGCTTACTCCATCTGGCATCTTGCATTCACGTGTCACTTTGCTTATGAATATAAGGTAGATGAATTACAGTTCATCATAACATCCCACTGTCCCTGGGATGTCTGAAGTGGTCCCAGCTCCTTTGTCATGCATCTGGGTAGTTGCTGGCATTTCTAGTTAGTCTGAACTGCCACAGATGGAGCAGGGGCTCTTAAGGAGGAAGCTCCCCATGCACTGAGAAGGATACATATTTCCTTTTCACACTTGCTCAGCCACAATTAAAGGCTGGGCTTATCTGCCACTTGGCAGAAGGCATCAGAAGGTGGGAGGCTGGACTCCATGAACCTTAGGCTCAGATCCCAACTACACTAGAGTTTGAGAGAGCAAGTTAAAAGGAGTGTCAGCAGGGTTGAAATCTTGTTGAGACTAAGTTTTTCTTTCTGTTTCAACTCATATATCAGGTTATTTACTCTTCCACTTAACCTCTCTTCCCATGGTTAGCAGGTCAGTTTATTGGGTTCATGCCTTTTCACAAGTATTGCTAACCTCAAGCATTGAGAAATCACAAATTTACTCTCATATTCATGAGACTGCAGGAAGAATATGCATTTTTTAAATTAAGCAATTAAAATAGTTTAATTAGTGTTTTAGCCCTGATCCTTCGAGTTTCACAGCTTTGGAGCATTTTTTTCCTTTCTTTGAGCTTGACTATCTTTGCCCCCTGTAAAACTGTATTTGTCACAATTGCACAAATGGACAACTAGTGCTTTAGCAAAAACTTCAGCTAGGCCAAGACTTGCAGAAATAACCTGAAATTTGGAAATTCCTGGTTTTGTGATTGTGTAAGTTTCATTTTCACTTTTTTCTGTCCCCTCATCAGTTATGCATGTCTGTGTTACAACATATCTGCTGAGAATGAGAGAGCTGAAGGGATTTTTGATTTGGTGAATTAGTGTACAAGTGGTCAGCAGAAAGGACTGCAGCAAAAAACCCCAATGAATGAGAAAGCACAAAAGGCTGAACTAGACTAAAGCCACCCGTACGTTGCATGTGCTCTTCTGCCGCATATAAGGGAGCTGAAATTTGCATGTTAGTTGTCTGTGATCCTTTTCATATTGGTAAGAAGGCCTTTGGGAAAACTTGGCATGATCTACCAAGAATTATTCATCATGTGATGCATACATTTAGGCAGTGAATACCCCCTTGATAGGGGCGTGAGTGAAAACAAGGCTTTTCAATGTACTTTATATTGTCCCTGCATTTGCCCTGTAGTCTGAAGGTGCTGTATGTCTTCCTGCCTTGTGTGTTCCAGTGCCCCATATATTTTGTGTTCTTACTGCCATCTGAAAATATTTGTCATGATTGTTCACAGTGCAGTTATTGTCATTTTGAAATGCTTATCACGGGGAACATTTTCTAAGGCAAGGGAGGCAACAGGGCAACAACTTTCCCTGGCTGTGTACAGGAGTCAGAGCAGCATTACCAAACCCTCTACCTGGTGTTCTCCAGGAGAGCTTCCCACGTCCTGTGAAGGGATGTTTCTATATCCTAAAAGAATGGCTCTGTGGATGCCACTAAAGAATTGCTGAAGAACTGGGACTGTTCTTTGATTACTTTGAGCTGCCAGGTTGAGTTTCTTTGCAGGCCGGTTGCCTTGCTACATCTGGATGTAAACTAATAGCCTCTGGGCTTCTTGAGGTGTGAGAACCATTGCTGTGGCAAAAGTATTAGTCTGACTTGCTCAATTGTGACCTTTGTTTTTCCTTTATTCCAGTTTACTGCCCTTTTGTGCAGAGACTAGGTGGTGGTGGTGCCTGAGATGTAGTACCTCTTCTGGTTTTGGCATGTTTGTATCATCTAACACATCACACGTTCATTTGCTCTTTCTTTTTTTTTTTTTCTCTATTATTCATCTCAGAGGATCCCAAAACAAAGAGGCATTCAAACCCTATGATTTTAGACCATTAGAGATAAAGCATAAAGGAAGAACTGATACTGCCCACAGTTCCCGCTCCTTGTCAGGCTGAAGGCCATAACCTGTGGGGATGTTCTCCATTCATGTCTGTGAGGTTTCTCCTGGGAGCATGTGGTATTTGAAAAAACAGTGGTGGATCCCAGGTGAAGAATATTTCTTTACCTTTTCTGAGGTTCACGATTTTTGAGACTTTTGGTGCCTTACCCTTTTGTCATATTGGCTTTTGACAGGGTATTGATAAATGCATTGTATTAGGGAATTTACTTTTTCAATTACCCTACTCCCATGTGCCTGTCATTATCTTTT